AAAAGGGAAGGAGGAGGAGTGAGAGGGAGGGAGAGAGACAGAGAGGGAGGGAGGGAGGGAGGGAGGGAGGGAGAGGGAGAGAGAGAGAGAGAGAGAGAGAGAGAGAGAGAGAGAGAGAGAGAGAGAGAGAGAGAGAGAGAGAGAGAGCATGTGTGCGTGCGTGTGTAAATGCGAGTATGTCAAGTGTATGTACATACGTATTTACGCACGTTCGATGAGCATGTCTAGCGTGTGTGCGTGCGATGACGTGCGGGCGCGATCCAGCCCCTTGGCATGAACGCGAGCATTCCGACAGTATCACGGCGAACCATTAGCGACTATCGAGCCGCTCCTTGTCACGAGACTGCATCGCCGTGTAAAAAGGAGAAGGAAAATGCGACGCACTAACGACTCCCCACTCGGAATCTCGGGCAGATGACGCGCAACTCGGTCAAAAATATACAGATTAGAATTGTGCTGAAAAGATTATGGAAAGCATTTATAGACACACACTCAGGCACGCGCACATGCACGTTCTCCTTTCGACCCCTCGTGTCTCTCTCTCTTTCTCTTCCTCCCTCTCCTCCTCCTCCTTCTCCTTCTCCTTCTCTCTCTCTCTCTCTCTCTCTCTTTCTCTCTCTCTCACACACACACACACATTCATCCCTTTCATCCGAAGACACTGCAAGAAAAAGAAAATAATAACAATACAAATCTTTAAAAAAAAACACCTTCATAAGCAAATGAAAGCAATTAGGTACCAATTCATCAACGCCCATGCCACCCCACACTTAAAAAAAAATAGTCTCCTTGGCGCCACATCAGCCCAGAATAAGACCAGATCTGGCACATCGCAAGTCAAAGGCCAAATTAAAAAAAGGCAGGGAAAAAGGCCTCAATCTCGGCTTTCCATTTCCCTTGTGCAAAAAAGACACTCGGCACAACAACATGCTTCTGGGGGTGCGGGGATGGGGGGGGGGTATACTCCCTCGCATCAGCTCTGGGAATCTACTTCAAAACTAACAAAAAAAATAAATAAATAAAAATAAAATAAATAATAATGAGAAGAAAACCATCGCGGGAATCATAATATTCGCGATATTCCCATCCAAAATTGTAAACAAAAATGCAAGTCCAGTCTATCGGTAATGCCAGACTTTGCCAGGTAACACGGGCATGATCAACACAAGGCAGGCAAAGGGGAAGGAGGGATGGGGAAGGAGGAAGAAAGAGGGGAAGGGGAGGAGAGAGAGGGGGGGAAGGGAGCAGACGTGGGGAAGGTAAGACAAAGAAGGTGAGGATAAACGGGGAAGAGCAAGATAAAGAGGAAGGGGAGGAGAAATGGGGAAGAAGGGTCAGAAAGAGGAATGGGAGGAGAAATGGGGAAAGAAGGAAGAGATATGTGGAAGGGGAAGAGAAAATGAAAGGTGAGAGATGAAGCACGAAAGAAGGTGAACAGGAATGGGAGTTGGAGAAGAGTGTAAGAAAGAAAGGTGAGAGAGGAGGGGAAGTAGTGACGTGGGAGGGGAAAATAGTAAACAAAGAAAAAAGAGGGGAGATAGATACAACAAAAAAGGGCTTCATCAACCGCTTCCGATATTTTCAGCAGAACTTTCTCAACAAACGAAACGAAACAGCAAAATGCAAAAAAGAAGGGAGGAGGGAAGAGAGAAGAGATAAAAATAGAGACAAGACGGGAGAAAAAGAAGACGGATGAAGGGAACAGAAGAAGGGAGAGGAGGGAAGACGAATGGAGTGGATAGAAGAGGGGAGAGGAGGGAAGACGAATAGAGGGGGAAAGGAGAGGAGGAGGAGGGGAACAAGGAAGCGAGCGGAGGGGAAGGAAAATAGGGAGACAAACCGAACGCATCAAAACACCAACGGCGACATCAGCCTTGTTTCTATTTCCCTACACAAAAAAAGAAAATCGAAACACCAGCAAAATAAAACCGGAAGAGAGAGAGAAAAAGAGAACCCAACCCTCTGTCATATTCTCCCTTCTCTCTCTTTTTCTCAGTCGTTCGTGAGTTTTCGTGCGAGTGCTTGTACTGGCGGGGGAGAGGGTAGAATGACAGTGAAGGAAGGATAAATATATGTGTGTGAGTGTATATATATGTGTGTGTGTGTGTGTGTGTGTGTGTGTGTGTGTGTGTGTGTGTGTGTGTGTGTGTGTGTGTGTGTGTGTGTGTGTGTGTGTGTGTGTATATATATATATGTGTATATATGTATATATATATATATATATATATATATATATATATATATATATATATATATATATATATATATGAGAGAAGAGGAGAGGAGAGAAGAGAAGAGAAGAGAAGAGAAGAGGAGAGAAGAGAAGATAAAAGAAGAGGAGAGAAGAGACAGACAAATCAAGAGAGCCAAGCGTCCCGAGCGGCCTCTCCCCGGGTCGCGCGACAGGCGGCCAAAAGGGTAACACCACAGGACCAGGGGCGGGCGCAATGGCGAGAGGGGGAGGGGAAAGGGGGAGGGGGAAGTCGCCCTTCGGCCTGACCTTAACGATCCTACGGGAGACAAGTCCTCTGAGGGCGAGAGTCCGAGCGGTCTCACGTGTCGCTGAGGCTTCGGGAGGGGCGCGTCCCTGCAACGGGAAGGCTGTTACCAAGGGCGGCCCGGCAGGTCCCCGATACTTACTCGCTTCCTCGCTTCCTTCTGCTCGCTCCCTTTGACCGCTCCTTCGTCTCCTTCGCTTCCTCTTATTTCCTCCTTCACCCGTCGCTCGCAACTACGCTTCGAAGTTTATTGAGAACCCGCACCCCCCCCCCAAAAAAAAAAAAAAAAAAAAAAAAACTATCCTCTTCCTATAAATCAACGCGTACAGAGGCAATCAACTCAAAAACCGCCCAAAAGGAAATGAAATAACCACAGCCCTTAACTACAAAAAATCACCTGCAAGATATTAACCAAACAAATCAAATCAACAACTAAATAAAGCAACTAGACTAATAAGCATAAACAAAATCCCTCTTCCTGGAGCTTCCATTCCCTCAAGCAGACGGGCGACCTTTGGAAAAAATGGCGTGTTCTTTCCAGGCTGCTTCGAGACTCCTAATTCATGAATAAAAATAAAAACAACTATATATATATTTTTCCCATATTTACCATTCTTTTTTCTAATCATTATTATTATTATTTTTTAATTAATTACCCTTGGCATAAAAAACTACTACTTTCCTCCCACGAAAAAAAAAAAAAACACTTTCCTTCCAAAACAGTCTGACAAACAAAACGAAAACAAAATAAAACAAAACCAAGAAAACCAAGAAAAGAAAAGACAAGAAATGAACCGTAAAAAAAAAAAAAAAAATTCTCGACCCCATCTCCATTACTGTGACTCACTCGTCGTCCTCTCTCTCTCTACCTCTATTTCTGTCCAGTGAATTTGCCACATTCCAATAGCCCTCCGCTGTTTGTTTTGGTTCCCGTAAGTAAACTCTGGTTCGACACGATTCTGGATTCTTTTTAATCGTCTTTTTTTTTGTCCTTTCTAGTTCCCTTTCCTTTTTAATCTAAGTTCTTTATTATCGGCTTCATTATCTGATTAGGAATGCTTTCCTTTTTTTATCTTAAAAGATCATTTTTTAATGTGGATCTCCTACAAAAAAATATATATATACATGTTGTGTAACTAAAACCATACATCAATGCCAAGAGCATCGGCGGAAAAAAACTAAACCAGTCCATATAAAAATAAATGAAGGGCATAACATCTGCGCGAGAAGAGAGGGGCGCGTTATAAAACATTGTCAATTATAAATAGACGCGACAGCAACTACGTTAACAAGTGGGAAAAAAATACCCTTGTACAAAAAAGGAGAACCACAGATATCAAATCATCAATCGCCAAATCAATTGCTAAAAATGACAAAATGAAATACAAAAAAAAGCTAAACAGAAACTAAAGTAAAAATCAAAACCTCAATACAACAACAACAAAAAGAGCGGAGAGCGGCGCCGGGGGCGACCTCCTCCGGACGGGTACTCACCTCTGCAGGTCGCGACACTTGACCACCTTGCCGAAGGTGCCCTCGCCGAGAGTGGTAATGATCTTGTCTGGAAGAGAGCAAGGGGCGGGCGTCAGTGGGCACAGAGGGGAAAAGGGGAGCCTCCCGCGGCCTCAAGAACAACAAGAACAAGAACAAGACGAGTAAACAATGACTACGTTAAGAGCGGGAAGCTAACGAAACAATTTATTTTTTCTATAGTTTTTTTTTTCTTTTCTTTTTTTTTCTGTATTTTTTTTCTAAGGTAAAAAAGTAATGAATATCTGAAAGGGTTCTGGAATGTTCCTTTGAAGATGATGATTAGAAAAAAAAAAGATAAATAAAATATTCGGATATTTACAAGATACTGAATCTCATGAATATCTCTCTCTCTCTCTCTCTCTCTCTTATTGTTTTTTTTTCTCTCTTCCCCCTTCCTCTCCACTCAAAGTCTATTATCAAAGCTTTTCTTTTCGGTGAAAAGGATTAAGCACTTGAGAGGGAAGGCAGAAATGTCCTACGCAACAATGCTCTCTGAACTTGTGAGAAAATTAAGTATAGATGGAAAGCCAATTGATAATCTGAGGTTAAACTGTAAGGAAGACTTTTTGGGACGAAAAAATCTCTCTCTAGAAACAAATTTTGGAAATTTCAAGTGTGTGCTAAGATGACTCTGTGTCTTAGCTATGTAACTGTTTTCTTTGTAGTGGACTCTACAAGGACATTTGTAGTTGTACTGAATGAATGAGTATTGAAGAAGTCAAAGAGGGAGTGTGTATATAAATATATATTATATATAAAACTATGAAGAGGAGAAAAACAAAAAATAAAAATATAAAACAGGGAGTATTATTCACGAACATCTATCTTGCAGCACGTCGCCATTGCGGTATATGAGGTGTCCATCTTCATCATCTTCCACTGACGGTGCCCGTGAACTCTGCTTGGGAGCCCGCCCATCACGCCCGCCCATCACGGCCCCACGCCCAAACCAGCAGCACCATCACCAGCACCACATCAGCAGGCAGGCAGCGGCGACAGCAGCGGCGGCGGAGGCGGCAGGGACAGCAGCGGCAGCGGCGGCGGCGGCGGAGGCGGAGGCGGCGGCGGCGTCGGGGCAACCAGTGGGGGCAGTCACGGCGGCGGCGGCATGGGTTCACAGCACCACAGCACCACAGCCATGTCACCACACGACGGACCGCAGGGCAACAGGCCACCAACAAGACAGATAAAGAGGGGAGAAGGCAAAATGGTGGCCACGATCAAGGAGAGCCACGGTGGCCACACACCATGGCAGCATGTACATTCAGGCCATATACTAGTGCTCTGTCCTACACCTATTACCATTGCATACATATATATATATTTATTATTCAATCAATGACACTTAAAATTTTGTTTGAAATTATCATGATGATATCAAAGAAAAATATAGAGGAAATACTATCATCCATATTGAGATATTTATCATCACAACTTTTTAATTTATCAAAGTATAAAACAAATAGAAATTACCAATGTTTGAATGGGCTGAGCCAGGGATGTGTATTATGACGTCACAAGATTACGATCATACCACAACACACCTCGATCGCGCTCGACTACTCACGCCGTGCATAACCGCGTGTCAAAACAAAACAAAATATAATAATAACAATAACAGTAACAATAATAATAATAACGTAATGAAAGTGATGGTAGCATTAACACGCAAATCGTCCTTGGCATACTACATGTCATACACAGGCGTCCATACACAAGCATGCATGCACATGCATGTACACACACACATATATGCATACACACACACACACACACACACACACACACACACACACACACACACACACACACACACCAATAACGCACCACATACGTAAACAGAGAGAATAAACAAAGAAACAAGAAACACAAGAGACAAAGAAGGGCGAAAAAAGATGATGATAAGAGGAATGTCTAGCACTACGACACACGGAGACGTAGAAGGAAGAGGAGCCTCTACAGCGTGAGAAAAGGACTCGGGCATCTCGAGTATTAGCGTAAGTGATGGTAGTTGTTGGCCGGCGGGTTATTTTTGGTCCCTGTTAGAGAACTAATGAAGAGGGAAGAGGAGGAGGGGGAGGAGAAGGGGGGGGGGCAGCGGAGGTTGAGAAGGGGAAGGGGTTGGTTGCTGGGTTGGTCGATGGTACTAGTTCAGTTATTGGTAATTACCTAGATCAGCCAGGTGAGGTAGGGCTGGTGAGGGTCGGGTTAGTGAAGGCTTTGATGGTAGAGGTGGTGGTGGTTGTGGTTGTGGTGGTGGTGGTAGCTGTAGTAGCAGAGCAGCGTGGACCAGTCACTGCCCTACTTACATCACTACTCACGCTACTAGAGCTGTAGAAGGAAGAATACTGTTGCTTCACACTAGTCTTGTTCCCCACCTCCTGAATGCCCAGCAGGTCCAACACCCCCGCCTTCCGCAGCGGCTGCGCGGGCGCCCCGGGGCCCAGCGCCGACGCCGAGATGCTTGCCGTCGAGGCGGTCGACTTGAGGCCCTTGCCGTTGCCCGGCGGCGCGGCCCCCACCCCAGCCTTCGCCTTGTACTTCACGAACGAGTAAGAGTCGTCCTGCTCGGCTTTCGGCTTCGAGGCCAGGGCGGCGCCAGCGACCTTGGGCTTCACGGACACGGTCACGGACACTTGCTGGTCCAGGGGAGACTTGGGGGCCAACGCGGGGACGTAACCGATGTCGGACAAGCTGCCCTTGCTCTCCTGGGGCGTCGTGGGGTTGTTGTTGTTTATGGCAGTGCTACTGTTGTTGTTATTGTTGGTGAGTTTGTTGGCGGGTTTGAATGTGGTGAAAGTGTACTCCTGCTCGGGCTCTATGTAGTTGGACACCTTGAGCGAGGGCGTGGTGGGCGTGTTGGGGGTCTTGACGCCGTACGGACTGTTGACGGGGTCCAGGATGGAGAACAGGCTCTTCTGCGACTGCGAGCTCTGGAGGCGGGGCGAGGGGGCGTCCGTGGGGGAGTCCAGGAGGTCCATGGTGTTGGTTCGGGTGAGGGCGAGGCTGGTGGGCTTCACGGGCTTGATGCACGCGGTTGGGTACGGCTTTTCGCGCACGGCCGCCTTCTCGAACACAATGGGCGGGTCGTACAGCACGAACTTTTCAGAGTCCGGCGTGCTCTGTTTGGACATGTTATCCGAGCTTCGCATACTGGTTTTGTTCAAGGCCGAGAGCACATCACCCGTAGAAGCACTACCGTATAACACTTTCCGCGGCGGGCCCTGGCTGCCCTCCTCCTCTGGGATGTACGTGGAGAACTCGGACACCTTGGCAGCCATCTCCTTCACCTGGTCGTAGCGCAGCGCCCTCTGCCGCCCCGTGTCGCCGTCCTGCTCGCCCTGGCACGCGGAGTCTTTGCCGCGCTTCAGGAACTTGCGGTTGTGGGAGCTGCCGATGTTGTGCAGGACGTTCAGCGGCAGCGAATACATGTTGATGAGCTGCGCCCGCTCCTTCCGGCGGGCGGCGTCGTCAGCAATGCTGTCGGGCGTGGCCGACGAGGTGCTGCCCGTCTCATTGTCCAGGGCGGCGCTGGACAAGCCCGAGTACCTGTTCAGGATGGACTGTGTGCTCTCCCGCGTGTCGTTCGTCTCGGGCACCGTCACGGGCCTCGTCGGTCGGAATCGGCTGGTGCCGCTGACGAGGGCGCCGTCGCCATGGCGCCGCCGCAGCTGCGGGCTCAGGTTGCCTAGCCTGCTGCTGCTGCCCGCCTCCAGGCACTTGTCCATGATGTTCGGGGAGTGCGCCCCGTACTGCGACCAGTAGTCGGTCTTCTTGGCGCTGGGGTTCTTCCTGAGCACGGTGATCTCGTCGGCGGCCTCGTCCTCCTCGTCGCAGCCCGTCCGCGCCAGGTTGTTCTTCTTCAGGAACCGACTCGGCTTGTAGCGCGAGCCGATCTTGTCGAAGTTGGGCGAGGGCGCGGACGTCGAGGCGTACGCGCTCCGGAGGCCGTAGTCGCCGTCGAGGCCCAGGTCCGAGGCCGTGCGGCTGTACGTGTACCTGCTGGCCCTCGGCGACCCATCGCTCTTGCCCAGGTCCGAGGCGCCGTAGTCGGACTTGAAGGTCGAGAAGGAGGAGAAGGAGGCGGAGGTCGACAAGGGGTGGCCGCCCTTGCTGCCGGCGCCGTAGCTGCTCCCGTAGCCGTAGCCGTAGCCCGACGAGGAGCCGACGCCGTGCAGGACCGAAGTGCCCTGGCCGGGCTTGTAGCGGGAAGTCGCCACGTCGTGCGAGGGTCGCGATTTCATTTCGGCCACGAGCGCCGACGAGGATTTATAGTCGGTGAAGCGCGGCGAGTCGTCGTACTTGTTGTACTTGAGCAACATGGGGTACTGCGAGTAAGAGCTCTTGCTGGAGGAGTGGCTGCCGCCGCCGAGGCTGTTGCTGGCGTCGTGGAGGGGCACGCGGTCATCCCCCGACTGCGACGCGGCCCGCACGCGCGACGCGAACTTATTGAGCAGGTTCGAACAGCGGTTTAGGATGTCGCCGCCGGAATCCCCGAGGATGTTCGTGTACGAGGTCGTGGCGCTCCGGCCGTACTGCTGACGGCTGCGCCCGCTCATACTGCCCCTTGCTCCGCACGCCCACCCCCTCCACGCCCGCAGCCCTAAGCGCGCATAGCACACGTCACCTACACTCCCATTTACAGCGGCCCTCCTGACACGGGGCTGGGTCCTGTCCAACTGGGCCTTTTGTCTGTCAAAAGCAGCGCCTTATCATACGTTTTCGTACACCTGAACACGCGAGGACACGGCACGGAACAGCACTCCTTCGTCGCGTCGGACAGCGCCTCGCCCGAAGTCCCAGGGCCCCGCGCTCTACGCAGATGAGGATTTCCAGCGCCAGCTCAGGAAGCCAGAGAGCAGACGAGAGTGGAGCAGGTAAGTGGGTGAGCGGAGTGTAACTGAAGCAGACCGGAGCAGTGGGCACGCAGCGGCACACGAAGCCCATGGGATAAAAATACCTCGGGCGCCGGCACGAGCCAGCGACGGCACTGAGGGTAGTGGCAGCGGCGATGGCAGCGGCAGGCGCACAACCTGCCAGCGCGTCCTGCCCACAACCTCACTCCCACAGCCCCTCGTAGGTTACCACAGCGAGCTGCACGGACATCATGAACTCCCCCTCCCCCTTTCCCTGTACAGCAAGGGAGCGATACCCAAAGGACACGACCCCCCCCCCCCCGCCCTTGCGACGGAAGCGCTCCCGTACTCCACTGACCTAGTCCGATCTCACAGCGAAAAGTTTCAATGAATTCTTACTCTTATGGTGTTGACTCCGAAATTTAGAGCATTTCCTTCTGGCTGCCAACAGCCACTGTTTCCTCAAACTTTCTCCAAATAGCTTACTTTCGTTGCATTCTATATATACATATATATATATATATACATTATATATATATATATATATATATATATATATATATATATATATATATATATATATATATATATATATATATACACACACGTGTGTGTGTGTGTGTGTGTGTGTGTGTGTGTGTGTGTGTGTGTGTGTGTGTGTGTGTGTGTGTGTGTGTGTGTGTGTATGTTCTCGAGTACATGTACATCTGTGTGTGCAAGCGTGTACGTCAATTTGCGCGTCTCAATACCTGTGACACTATACAGAGCGTATTTGTAGACTTGCATCTCCCAGAGCGCAATCTAAAGCTCAGCTACCTCATTCCCCCCCCTCCTCCCCCTCGCCCTCGCCCTCGTGCCCCCCACCCCCCTCGGTCGGCCGCAGTTCCTTCCGTCGCCGCCGCCGCCGCTGCACAGCCCCCGTGCCTGCGTCCTTCGCTCGCCCCGAAAGCTCCGCCTGCTCCTCGGTCGTCTCTTGTGCTCGCTCCGGCCCCTGGTGCTCGGAGGGCGGCCTTTCGCTTCCTTTCTCGAGCGCAGACTTGGCGGCCAAAGAGCAATGAGTGCTTATGTGAATTTGTGATCAATGAACGAGAAAAATTAAGGATGTGATGAAAAGGAAAGAGAGGGGGAGGTGAGAAAGCAAAAACTATCTACGCAAACTTGGTAACATGCGGAGGGTTAAGTAAATAAAGAAAGTGGTAATGAAGAGTCATTGCCAAAGAGCTGGGATGAAGATAACTGATGTTAATGGTGAAGAGGAAGATGAAGAAGAGGAGGTAGAAAAGGGGGTTGAGGAAGAAGAAAAAGAGGAGGAAGAGGAAGAGATAGAGGATTTGAAGAATACGTCTACCTGGGTAATGAGCGCTTACAAGGGAAGCTAGGTAACCACTGCATTATATAGGTAAGGGGAAAACGGCGCACAAACGCGCGCGTGCGCACACACACTCACACACACACTCACACCCCTATAAACACAAACGATCAAACAATACCAATAATACAACTAAAGAAAAAAAATGTAAAATTATTTATTCACGAATATTTCACCAAGACACTGCCACCCCAAACCCGCCTTTAACCCCTGTGAAAATAAAACACCAATAAATACAAGGCGAAACATACAAACCTACCATACACACACACACACGCACAAAACACTTCACTCCTCGTCCTCTAAACAAAGACCCATCCCCGAAGACGCCCACAAAGACTCGCGACGCCCGTAAGACACGTTTCCGCAGAGATCGGAAGCGGAAGTGAAATGCGCGGTCCCTTCCCTCACACACACACAATGTCCCCGAACAAAAGGCTCTGGCTCTCTCGCCGCCTCCTCGCTTAAACTCCTCGCGCCCTTCCGTGCCTTCTCTCTCCTCATCCCTTTCTCCCTTCTCTTCTTCTCTATTGGTTCTTCTCATCCCTATCTCCCTCTCATCTTCTTCTTTTCCTTCATCCTTTCATTTTTCTCCACCTACTTTTCCCTTCAACCATCTTTCTCTCTCTATTCCTTCCATCCTTCGCATCCATCTCATCCATCTTTCCTATGCTTCCTTTCATCATCCTTCTCTTTAACCTCCTTCCACCTCTGTTCTTCCCCATTCCCCTTACTCCCAAAACCTCATTAGTAAACCTGGCGACTTCTCCCCCCCCCCCTTTCCCTCCTTCAACCCACTCCCAAGCGGGACATTAGTGCGTACGCCGCCCATGTACGTAAACAACACAGGGCGAAGGAAACGCGCACACAACGCGACATATTCATTCACACATGTACGCACGCACATACAGACTTCTGTTAGTAATGCAATGTTTTCTAACCCCTTCTCCCCCCTCCCTCCTCGTCTCTCTTGCTCGCTCTCTCGCTCTCTCTCGCTCTCTCTCTCTCTCTCTCTTTCTCTCTCTCTCTCTCTCTCTCTCTCTCTCTCTCTCTCTCTCTCTCTCTCTCTCTCTTTCTCAGTCGAAGTGAAACAATACGTAGAAAAGCGAAACAAAAACACATACAAAAAAAAGAAGAAAAAAAAAAGCACGTGTCATTATTTCTCATTTTCATTTCTCAAAAGGGAGATTGAGTTCCACTTCGCCAACTTGTGCGTCGAAAATGAGAGGAGCCGGGAGGGGGAGGGGAGGGGGAGGGGGGTAGGTGATAAAGGAAAGAAGGGGAAGAAGAGGGAATTGAACTGAATGGGTTGAGGGGAAAAGCAGGGAAGAAAAGAGAGAGAGAAAAAGAGTGTGTGTGAGAGAGAGAGAGAGAAAGGGAGAAAGAGAGAAAGAGAGAGGGGGGGGGGGCAAGGGGAGTGTGCCATGACTCACTGGCTCCAACCCAGCTGGTCGCTGATCCTCCTCCCACTCCACCTGTCCAAAGAGTGAGGAAGCGAGAGAGAAAAACGGAAAAAGGATGGAATGACGGTGGGAAGAGAGAACGATAGACATGGGGGAGGGAGAGAAAAGAGAGAGAGAGAGAGAGAGAGAGAGAGAGAGAGAGAGAGAGAGAGAGAGAGAGAGAGAGAGAGAGAGAGAGAGAGAGAGAAAGGGGGAGAAAAGAAGGTTGGAGAAGGGGAAAGCGAGGAGAAAGAGGAAGGGGAAGAGGAAAGGGAAGGGGAAGAAGGAAAAGGGGGAGAGAACAAACAGATCCCCCCTCCCCACATACCCGTTGATCTTCCCCGTCTCCCCCCCCCCTTCCTTCCCTCCCCAACAAACAAGCTTTGTTACTCACTCTCGCTCTCTGGTCATCGCTTTAAATAACAAAAGTACAACAACCAAGGAAACAACCACAGAGACACGATCGATTTCCGGCGTACGAGGTAGGAACAAACAGAGAGAAATTGAGAGAGAGAGAGAGAGAGAGAGAGAGAGAGAGAGAGAGAGAGAGAGAGAGAGAGAGAGAGAAAGAGAGAGAGAGAGAGAGAGAAAGAGAGAGAGAGAAAGAGAGAGAGAGAAAGAGAGAGAGAGAAAGAGAGAGAGAGAAAGAGAGAGAGAGAAAGAGAGAGAGAGAAAGAAAGAGAGAGAGAGAGAGAGAGAGAGAGAGAGAGAGAGAGAGAGAGAGAGAGAGAGAGAGAGAGAGAGAGAGAGAGAGAGAGAGAGTATATTTCCCTCGCAAATCGAACCCTATTTCTCCCCATCATCAAATTGGTCTTTTTGATGAATAAATGACAACGGCGATAGCACGAGTAACAAATAAAAATAACAATGATATAAAAATAATAAATAAAAAGAAGCGAGAAAAGAAAGAACACCCCCAACCCCACCCTCCCCCCAAACAAAATCTGATAATACGAAATATAAAAAATAAAAACAACACTACGGAGTTGATTTTCTCCCTCGACCATCCCCCTCCCCCTTCCCTCCCTCCCTTCCCTCCTTCCCTCCCTCCCTCCCTCCCCACACCTCCCCAACACGACCCAAACGGAGTGCGTGTGTGTGAGCGAGGGGAAGGGGGGGTAAGGGAAAGGGGAGGGAGGGAGGGGGGGGGGTGAAACGAGGTCAGCGACAGGAAAATGAACACAGAGGGCCGCGTGGTTGGCGTTGTCCCGAGAGCGAAATACTGTGTCTAGTGCCGCCACCAGCTGATGGCTTGCTCTCCTCCTCCTCTTCTTCTTCTTCTTCTTCTTCTTCTTCTTCTTCTTCTTCTTCTTCTTCTTCTTCTTCTTCTTCTTCTTCTTCTTCTTCTCCTCCTCCTCCTCCTCCCCCTTCCTTGCCTTCTCTCTTCCCAGCCCACACACAAAAGCAGCTCATCATACTCCTGTTGTATTACCGCACGCACGCACGCACGCACGCACGCACGCACGCACGCACAAAACCTCCCGCACACTCCCATCCCCTTAATGGCCAAGAAACCGCATCATCCCCTACCACATTAAAACCTAATCGCCATCTGCAGCCTCGCCCACCCTCGCCCCCCTCCCTCCCCTCCCTCCCCTCCCTATTCTTGTATTTACTAATTTATTAATTTATCATTATTATTACTATTATCATTTTATTCCTTAACTGAATAAACATAAAAAAAAAAAAAAAACACGGGCTTCAACGAGGCTTCTAGCGCGGCGGGGAAATCCATCCCGGCGGGGAAGAAAGAGAGGGGGAGGAGGGAAGGTGGAGAAGGAAAGGATAAGTGAAAAGAGAGGAGGATTGAGGAAGGAAGAAATACGAAGAGAGAGAGAGAGAGAGAGAGAGAGAGAGAGAGAGAGAGAGAGAGAGAGAGAGAGAGAGAGAGAGAGAGAGAGAGAGAGAGAGAGAGAGAGAGAGAAAACAATGAGAAAAAAATGAGTAAATAAGTAAATAAGAGAAAACAGCCTACAGAAACACCACCTACCGCAGAGTCAAACAGATCAAGCAGACAGACAAGACAAGACAGACCAAAGGCCAGAGAGCAAGAGAGCGACAGCACCGGACCGAGGCGAGGCGAGGGGGCGAGGCGACCCCGAGTAACACCGTGGCCACCTTTAACCCGCACTCAGAAAGCCTCGCACCCGGCGGAGGAAATCCCGACCTTAATCTGACCCGGCAACAACGCGAGGCAGCGTCGCGAAAACCCGGCCTGTGGAAGCGTTATGGTTTATCGCCCGCGGGGGATCCGGGATAAATGTTTCTGCAACGCCACGCGAGGGAGGCCGCTGAAATAATAAGGATGGGAGGGAAGCGCGGGGGACATTTGTTACTTGCGGGGAAATGAAACGACCGACGATGATTATAACAACTAAAACAACTATAACGACGAAGAAAAT